AATAATGGTTGAGTTGAACATTGAAGCATTGAAACAGACTGAAACACCAGCATCTGAATGGCGTGGTAAGAGACGAAGTTTTTAAGAAAGGCCGGAATAGTCCGTTGAACAAAAAACAGAATACAGGGTCAACAACCAGCTCCAGTCAAGGAAACCGTTCTATACCGCCCTACTCCGAATGTGGTAAGAATCATAAGGGGGTTTGTTATAAAATCTCAGGTACTTGTTACAGGTGTGGCAAGGTGGGTCACATGGTCAAGGATTGTCTTTCTGCTCCTCAGGGCAATAATAAAGCTACACCAAGCGCAGCAGCATCAACTGCTCCACCGAAACCCAACCCCAAAGCTACTGGAAAAGAGCCTATGAGGCAAAGCCGAGTGTTCGCACTCATACCGGGCGATGTACAGAATACCGAGACCGTTGTGTCAGGTATACTCTCAATTTGTGCTCAAAATGCATATGTTTTGATTGATTCGGGCTCTACACATTCATATGTATCGCATGTTTTTTCGCGAAAATTGAATAGACTATTGGAACCCATGAACTATCTGTTAGCTGTATCTTCACCTGTTGGGGGATCCATGACTTGTGCTTACATGTACCCTGCATGTGAAATTATTGTTGGGGATGTTCATCTGTATATTGATTTACTGCCATTGAATATAGATCATTTTGATGTGATATTGGGAATGGACTGGTTAACAAAATATCATGCTACCATAGACTGTGTAACAAAACAAGTTGTTTTCTGTCCACCCGGACTGCCTGAATTTGTGTTTAACGGAGTTGAAGTAGTACCTTCCCCATACCTGATTTCATCCATCAAAGCTTTTAAATTAATTAGAAAAGGGAGTAAAGGGTATCTATGTTCTGTATTGACTGTACCTACTGATGATAAAACTAATGTGGACAATATTCCTATAGTCAGAGAATTCCCAGATGTTTTTTCAGATGATTTGCCAAGGGATTTGATTGATAGGGAGATTGAGTTCACCATTGATGTGGTTCCGGGTACACAGCCTGTATCTAAAGCTCCGTACATAATGGCACCTACCGAATTGAAAGAGTTGAAAGTTCAGTTGCAAGAACTGTTAGATAAGAAGTTCATCAGGCCCATTATTTCACCGTGGGGCGCGCCAGTCTTATTTGTAAAAAAGAAAGACGGCTCACTAAGGCTCTGCATTAACTACCGTGAATTAAACAAGGTAACAGTGAAAAATAAATATCCATTGCCTCGCATTGATGATTTATTTGACCAGTTACAGGGTGCCCAAGTGTTCTCCAAAATTAACCTTAGATCTGGATATCACCACTTGAAAGTCAAGATAGGGGACATTGAAAAGACTGCATTTTGAACGAGGTATGGACATTATGAATTCTTAGTTATGCCTTTTGGAGTTACCAATGCACCTGCTGCATTTATGGACCTTATGAACCGAATTTTTAAACCATTCCTCGATGACTTTATTGTTGTATTCATAGATGACATTTTAATTTATTCCAAAAGCACGGAGGAACATGAACATCATTTGAGAATTGCCCTACAGACCCTAAGAGAACAGAAACTTTATGCAAAACTAACTAAATGTGAATTTTGGCTTGACAATGTTATGTTTTTGGGACATGTGATCAGTAAGGATGGAATTTCAGTTGACCCACAGAAAATTGAAGCAGTAGTGAACTGGCCTAGACTGACAAATGTTACCGAAGTTTGAAGTTTTCTAGGCTTAGCCAGGTATTACAAAAGGTTTGTCAAAGATTTTTCCAAAATTGCCCTACCACTGACACAGCTGACTCAGAAGGGGATATCATTTGATTGGACCGACCAGAGGGAATAAGCTTTTCAAGAGTTGAAAACTCGACTAGTGACTGCACCGATCCTCAGCTTACCCTCAGGTACGGATGGTTATACTGTATATAGTAATACTTCTTATACGGATTAGGGGTGTGTTTTAATGCAGAATGGGAAAGTGATTGCGTATGCTTCCCGATAACTGAGACCGCATGAAAAGAACTACCCGACCCATGATTTAGAACTTGCTGCAGTAGTGTTTGCACTAAAAATTTGGCGTCACTACCTTTATGGGGCGACATGTGAAGTGTATACAGATCAAAAGAGTTTGAAGTACTTCTTCACACAGAAGGAACTGAATATGAGGCAGCGGAGATGGTTAGAACTGATAAAAGATTATGACCTGCAAATTTTGTACCATCCAGGAAAAGCTAACACTATTGCTGATGCACTGAGTCGGAAATCGATTGGAAATTTGGCCTGTTTACTCACAGGGCAGAAAGAATTGCTATGTGACCTTGAAAGACTTGAAATTGAGATTGTTTTGCGTGAACAAGGTGGAACAATAGCCGCTATTTCTGCTCAACCGGCACTGATTAAAGAGATTAAAGAGAAACAGCAACAGGATGACTTCTTGAGGAAGATCATCGAAGAATGGTAATCCAAACCGAGGCCAGATTTCAAATTTGAGAATAATATGTTGAAATTTCAGGGAAGATTGTGTGTACCGAATGGTTCTGAACTGAAAAGAAGAATTCTGCAAGAGAGCCACAATTCGAAATTGTCTATTCATCCAGGAAATACGAAAATGTACCAAGACTTGAAACTGAATTTCTGGTGGCCGGGAATGAAGAAAGAGATTGCTGATTTTGTATCGAAATGTCTTCATTGCCAACAAGTTAAAGCCGAACATCAACGACCCACAGGCTTACTGCAACCCTTACCGATACTGGAGTGAAAATGAGAACATATCATTATGGATTTCATTGTTGGTTTACCTCGCTCCAGTAAATGTATGGATTCAATTTGGGTTATTGTTGATAGATTGACTAAATCTGCTCATTTCTTACCTGTCAAAACAATTTATAATGCGGACAAATTGGCTGTAATCTATATTGATGAGATTGTTAGATTGCATGGAGTGCCTGTGTCCATTGTTTCTGATAGGGACTCGAAGTTTACATCGAGATTCTGGCAAAGCTTACAGACAGCATTGGGTACTGAACTGAGACTGAGTAGTGCATACTATCCTCAGACAGATGGTCAGTCAGAAAAAACCATCCAGACTCTGGAAGATTTACTAAGAATGTGTGTTCTTAACTTCCAGGGAAATTGGAAAAGTCATCTACCGTTGGCTGAATTCACCTACAACAACAATTTTCATTCAAGCATGGGTATAGCGCCTTTCGAGGCTTTATATAGTAGGAAATAAAGCCTTCAATTTGCAATCTAAACATAATACATGAACAGATAATTTAACAGTCAAACAGATAGACATGCACTTAAACTAACACACTCAATTAGTTAACCCAGAATTTCAATCAATTCAATTACTTATCATGATCAGTCTCAGTTTAGCAGTAATTAGTGGTGTTATCAGTAAACAGTAGTGAGGGTTGTCACAGTCTCCACTCCTTATAAAGAGTTTGGTCCTCCAAACTCGAATTACCTTCATTTTGGAAGAAAACAGGATTCAGTGGGAACAATTCAGGATATCTCTTCATCATATCATCTTCCCTCTCCTAAGTGGCATACACGCCACCATGGTTTTGCCAGTCAACTTTCACTAACGGAATTTCTTTGTTCCTTAACTTCTTGATCCGTCGGTTTACAATCTGAATAGGCCGTTCTTCGTAAGTGTAGTCATCACTTAGCACTACACGGGTAGGCTCAATCACATAGAAGGGATCCCGAAGGTATTCCCTCAACATTGAAATGTGGAACACGTTATGCATATACTCCATTTCAAGAGGAAGCGCTACTTGATACGTCACCAGATTAATCTTTTCAATAATCTCATATGGTTCGACATATCTCGGGGCTAGCTTACCCTTGACTCTAAAACGAGTCTGGCCCTTCATCGGTGTCACTTTTACAAAAACATGATCATCTACTTCATACTCTCTGTCCCGCCTTCAGACATTCGCATAACTTTTCTATCGGCTTTTTGCGGTTTTCAGTCTCTGTTGAATAACTTGATTTCATGTATTTTGAAAAAGAGTTTTGAAAATGTACAACTCAAAGAAATTGAGTCTACAATCATGAAAACCAACATCATTCCAAATTAAGCGACACAACCTCCATCCACTGACATTCATACAATTATATCAAGTAAGCAAGTAGCCACATGGTAAGATGCTAAACATAGTAAGAAAAACACACACAAGTGGGATGCTAAAGGATAAAAACTTACATATTTACTGACGTCCCTCGAACAGCTACAAAACAAAATTAGTAAAATATACATGATCTTATATATAAAATCTAATACAATACATACACAAGAATGCTTCTAAAGACCCGACTTCTAAAATATGACATGTGAATCATCTCAAGAACATGAGGTAGTGCATAGAATCACATAAGAATTGATTAAATCCACAAATGTAAACTTTGCCGAATCAAGATGCATGAAACATGGATGCAAAGCATGGATATGCATGGCATATCAGATATATACATATGTATAGTTGGGAAAATGATTAAAGAATGTGATAGAAAGAAGCGGGATGGAGAATTATTATAACACTTTAAATATTACAAATCCGAAGGAGATAAATAAAATAAAATCCTCACAAACACTCAAAATAAAACTAAAATAAAGAACTTTATCATTGGCACATTTTACTCCTTTTCTCCACTGGAAATTGGGCCCGGCAAATAAGCCCAAAATTAGGAAGCCCAACGTTTCAAACCCCCAGTCACTCAGCCCATGTAAACTCACCTTCAATGGAGGCCCCCACCTCATCAGCATCAACGCATCATCTCAAATGATTTTATAATTCCAACACGTGGCGCTAGCAAAGAATTTGCCCAAATTCATATAACCAGCCCATGTAGCCAAACTCAATACCAACCCATGATTTAACAAAATTACCGTGGGCCCATTCACCCCATTTTCCACTCAACAGCATATATGATAATATGCACAAACCTCAGCCCAAGTAAACCCATGTTAAGCATCAATGGAGGGGCCCACATTTGTTACCAGGGGTTGTAAAACTGTGACAACAATGACATGTGAAGGGTCCAGGCCAATCTCTTTCTTGGCTTCCCTCAGTGCTGTCTCAACATGATTGGCATCCCCTTCATCTGTCTTTCCACCTGGCAAGGACACATTCCCTGAATTAGTGGACAGTGTTGAAGGCCTCTTGGTAAGAATGACTCTGAGATCTCTTCTTTCATATTCAAAGAGGCAGATCAGAACTGCAGCTCTCTTGGATCTGATTCTTTCAAGTGGGTTTGTTGCAGATTCTGAATTTGTAGTAAGCTCATGAGGAACAGCCTTGCTTGCACTGTCTTTGATTGTTGGGTCTTCAATGGGGTTGTAATTGGTGTTGAAGAGTCGAAACTGTTGAGCTATGTTCATTAGTCTCTCTGATGATCCAATGCTGTTGGAATCCATGAGCTCTATTAGAGGAGAGAGAGAGAGAGAGTTGCAAAGAGAATTTTTCTGTTTTTGAGCCAGGAAAAATGCTTGGGAGCACTAATTAGTGCTCCCACTAATTAGGTGGCAGTAGGTCCCGCCATTAATGATGTGATGTTTTGGTCTTGGAGTTGTATTTTTTTTTTTTTTTTTTTACTTTTTTAATGCATTAGTGCTATTAATGGTGATATTTTTAGTAGGATCAATCATTGTTGTTTGAGCCAGATGCACTAGCATGGTATACCACATGCATAGTCACAAAACTCCATTTTTTAGATATATTTTGTTTGCACCAATTCGCAGTTGGGATTTGTGCCCATCACAGTTTTAATGTGTTGTAGTGAAGAGAAGAGTGAGAGGGCTATCGTGCTGCTACTTTGAACCCCGTTAACTGAAGCTCACGCCTTGATCTCATATCTAAAAGAGAAAAGTTAGGGATCATGAAAAAAATTTCATGAAAAAGATCATGAATGATTTATGATCCTTGGATTACCTTGATTAGTGTGTAGTGCTTTATTATAAGTGTAATCCAAAAATCACAAAGCTTTCATGATTATTTTCATGAAAGATTTTTCATGATACCTAGCATTGTTGTATCCAAAAACACCGAACTAAGCAAGAAAACTTGCCATGGCAGAAAAGCCATGACAAGGCAAAGTAACTCACCACCAAACACAAGAAATCAGCATTAACGAACCATATCAGCCAGCCCGTAGAGCCCACCAGGCGACCACCAATCACCAAAAAGCATTGAACCTGAGTTTACCGAACAAAACGGATGGCCAAGGCGCCACCCACAGCCGGAGCTTGTCAACCCACCGACGCAACACCAACACCACTCTTCGTTGTTCAATACGTAGCGCCCATACAGGAGAAAACAAGGGCAGCAGCAGCGTCCAAGGAGCCGAAGAAAGGAGCGGTGGTGGTGGCCTGGTGCCGTGAGAGAGAGAGAGAGAGAGAGAGAGAGAGAGAGAGAGAGAGAGCGATATGTGTGTGTGTGTCTCTCTTAAACTCAAACCTAACTCCATGTTAGACCAAAGCTTTGAATGGTTTTTTCATTGATGGGAGAGAGGACTTGTGAGCCATCTCAGAGAGAGACCCCGAGAGAGAGTCTGTATCTCCCTTTTTCCCCTAGACGAGAGAGAGATATATTTTTTGAAACTCTTTTCGTCCACCCAACCTCTCTCTCTCAAATAATCAAATTCTCCACCATCTTTGAAGAGAGTCATTTGAACATTTGCTCCAATTATATATCCTACACCATCAAAATATCATCACATGCTATCTTCATAATATATCTCACCAAACCCATTCTCATAATGATATCTTCGCCCCAAAAATACCTTGACCATACTCTATTATTATTATTATTATTATTATTATTATTTTTATTATGTTCTATTTATCAAAATAGTTAAAATGTACCGATTTATATAGCACCATCTAAAAATATGTACACACATAAAATTATAAAATACTACAAATTGATAATTTGGCCAAAATGGGTGAGGTTTGGGATTAAAGCTTTCATCTAATTTTTCTGTTAAGAAATTCATAAAATAGCATATTCCAATTTTCATCATTGGGTGTTCAAAAGAAAGTGCCCAAGTCTTAGAGCTAGTCAAAATGAGGCGTCTACAAATAACTCGACTCAGTATTCCACGTGGACCAATGATGAGGAGAAGGGAATCCACTGGTATGTGTCAATACCGTTTAGCGGTGCGACAAACACTGTTTGGAGGTTTTTATCTATATACGTGTAAGAAATGTAGAGGGGAGCACAGCCGTCTGTTCAGAGAAGGACATTAGAGATAGTGCACCCATAATCTCAGAGGCTGCATGGCTAGTGTAGACATCCCCGAACGCCCAGGGGGGATGAGTCCCGTTCTGTTCGTATTTGGGCTTACTACAGTTCAGGACTCTCAAATTATCACGGTTCTTAATCTGAACCAAAGAGTCCAAATCCGACAAATCGTTTTGAGAAAAACAGATTTTAGAAAAGAAGTGCCAAACATGGACTGCTTTGCCAGATACAGAGTCGCCACCTAAATATTTTATTTTGGAAAAATTTAGGAAACCCTAACTCGTTGCCTAAGGCCACGTGTCCGTCATCACCAAAGTTGCCTCGGCTCAGGAACTTGGGTACGATTGGGGAAGGTCAGCTATGAGCACCCCCTCTCACCCGATCCGAAGACCGGCCTCTACTAACCATGATATCTGATTTTAAAAAAACATTATGCGTTCTTATTCCGGTTATTAGCCTAGATTTACTACGTGATGCGCACAGCAAACAAGTATAGACTAAGTCGCCTAAATTGGAACAAAACATTTCATGTTTGCTTATTTAAGAATGGTTTGATGGTGCTACCTGCGAGTAGGCTAAGACATGAATTTTGCCACCCTCGAGTGGGCTTAGAAAATATGGTTTTGCCACTCTCAAGTGGGCTTAAAATTCGCATCCAATGCATTGTTCCAATTTAAGTAACCCAACCTTCACCCACAGGCATTCAGGCAGTTATATCAACAAAGCATCTAGCCACATGGTAAGCATGCTGTCATGTTAACATTCACACTCATGCGAAATGTTAAAGCATAAATACTTACATCGTACTCCGTGCCAAAACAATGAACTAGTCAGTAATCATACATGATCCTAGTCCATGTTAAGTGCCTAATGCAATGCATACAGAATGCAATTAGGCTAGGCTCGGCTAATCCTAGAATGGCATGTGAAATGCAACCATTTGATGCACGTATTCAAGTTAGATTTGAAATATTATGCTGTTAGTATGATGCACCGAGCCCGGTGCATGCAATACTGATGAATGATGCACGCATGCATAGCATAAGGTATGCTAAATTAAACATGCCCTAATACTAACCATCAAAAGCAGGTAAGTAAAAGAGAGAAAGAAGTGGGGGTTGGAAGACATGCACACACGCACCCACACTTATTACAAATTTGCCCTCGCTCGGAGGGACCGAAAGAATAATACAATTAATTAACCTACAAGCTAATTAAAATGTTACAGACCAATTAAACTAATTAAACTAGTTAAGCAAATTAACTAATCTAAGAAAGCAGTAAACAGCCTCGGGAAGAGGGCCCAATGCAATGCGTGTTCGACTCCGCTCGGAAAGCCACTGCCATGCACAAGTTGCCTCTGCTTTGACTGTTATCCTCCTCTGAATTACTAATTATTACAACACTTTGATCAACTTTCTCTGAGTGCTGTGGAACACCACCGGCTAATGGAATTGGTCACCGGCCAAAGGGAATGATCACCGGCCACTTGTTCAAGCTATCGGCCATTGATGGATGGCCGGTCGGCACTGGAGATGGCCGGCCGGCCAAAGCTTCCTGCAGAATCTGTTTTTGACAGCAGCAGAGGGCAAAACTTGGCATGGCAATGCATTTCAAGCAGATGTGTGCACCACCACATCCCTTATCATGCTTATGACTCAAAGGGACGTGGTTCTCGATTCTCGGATCACCAATCGCGCATTTCAATGCGTGATGGCCCAAGGAACCAAGTTGTGCATTTTCAATGTGGAGTGAAATGCACATAAGCAAACAATGGGGCTCAACCTCCATCACAATCAATTCAAGAGGTTAAGCATGCGTGCCAATGTGATGCAACCTAGGCATGTGAGCTAGCATGCAATCATGGAAATGTAAAAAAGCATACAAGGCATACAACAATCATGCAAGGCATGAAGCAATGCAACCAACAAGTATGCAAGATACAATGTGGGTGTTCAAGCATGCAAGCAAGCATGTGACTTCATTCAATCATGCAACATCACACAAATATGCAACGACATACAAGGTGAGCATGCAACGGCCATGCAAAGGAGGGACTTACACTAGTTAGGTAGCTATATACTAAGCCCAAAACAGTGACCAACATGCTCAAAAATGAAGTCAAAATGACATACAAACATGCATGCATGCAAGGACCAACACTTAGGCATATAGAGACAACTCTCAAGCACACTTAAGAGGATGCGAACATGGACAGATGGCATGCATATAAAGCTCTGAAAATCATGTTGTAAAGGTACCAAACCAAGTAAACAAGACAAGCTAAACATGCAACAATGGTCCAAGATTCAAGGCAAGCCCAAAGAGGCTTAAACCATGGCTAAGTCAACCAAGCCTCACAAGGCTAAGAGGACTTAAAACAGGTCCAAGGCAGGCCTAAGCAAGGCTAAGGATACACCTAGATGGCATCTAAGTGACCTAAACATGCAAGCATGCACAAGGGCCTAAACAAAGGGCGTAAGACAACAACCTTTTAACACATTAGAGGGGCATCAAATGCAAGCATACAAGCATGCTAAGTGGACTGAAATGGCATGGCAAGTGGTTCCAAACCACTAAAATAATGCAAGTAATGCATGCTCATGGTTCATGCACTTAAGGCTCACAAGCTAAGAATGCAAAAAGGCTATGCAACGCATGTCATGGTCAACCAAAACAACCAAAAACAGAACTTTAGCATGCTGAAACAAGCACAAAAGCTTCACAAAGCTTGGCCAAAAAGATGCTAGAACAAGGGTAAAAAACCTAAAGCATATTAAGGCTAAAACATGGCATTACAAGACATGTATACAAAGCATGCAAGGTGTGTCTAAACCAACTTAACACAATGCTATATCATGGCAATATAAGCACAAAAATCAGTTAAGGCATGATTAACATGCATGGACACAAACAAACCACGTCTAAACCATCCTCACCACTGAAATCCCTCAAGATTTCAGTGGTGAGGAGGCCCAAACACAATGGTCCTGGAGCTCACCAAAAATGCACAAAAATGGAGCCTAACAAGGCTTAAGAGGGGTCAAACAACCTCAAAGCTCAAAACACTCTTAACCAACTATTTAGAGTAGGCAAAAAAAAAAACTTTTATATGTTATACAGTGAGTCTAAAAATAGTTGCAAGGTAGTCGAAAAAGCTATGCAAAAATGGGGTAAAAAAAGCAAGAATGTTACCCTTGAAGACCCTCTTCACAAATGGTGGACCAGCTGCTTCTTTGAGCTCAAAACCGCCCAAGAACACCAAGAACAGACCTCTGGCCCCTCAGCAACCAAGAAAAGGTGTAAGACTAGGTGTTTGTGTGCAATAGTAAGACTAAAACACACACAAGGCAAAGAAAGAGAGAGATATAGAGATAGAATGGATACAAACCCTAACCCTAATATCAGAGGTCTCTCTGGAAATTTTTTCTAACCTAGAGGAGGGAGGAGAGGTTCCCTCTTATAGACAATCCAATCTTGTAAAGCTTCCAAAGCAAGCTAGATAAGAGGGAAATCCCTCCATACACGTGTATGGAGGGGAGCAGAGTGTATGCCAGCTATCACAGCTGGTATAAAAATATCTGCAAAAGCAGATGAACAGTGGTTGGCCAGCCAAAAATGCAATTTGCCCAAAATAGATGGTCGGTCAACCATCTATAGCGTCGGCCGGCCAAACATTTGGCCGGTGGAAACAAAACACAGCCGGTGGCCTCAAGCCACAGCCGGTGGAATGTGGGGATGGCCAATAAGCCATTCCCTGCCCTCAAAAGCAAAAACACAAGTGCTTGGTGCAAAACCAAACACAAAACAGTCGAGTCGAGAGGTCCTGAGGCAAGGCGCGTAGCCGAGATCTCCGGGAACTCAAGACGAACACAAACAAGGATGATCACCGAGTGTTCAAACGATGACGCTCAAGTCTTGAGGACGGTCAAAAATGGGGTGTCTACAGCTAGCCTTGAAAGGAGGAGCATGCAACCATTAGAGGTAAGCCATTTTGTGGTATACTCTCTCTCTCTCTAGCAAGTGGTCTGTCTTCTCTCTTCTTTTCTAAGTGTGCAAACTTGATCGTCGGAGGGTTTTATCCGGCAGCACACCGCCGAGAAGCTTACCGTCTTTCTGTTCTCAGGTTAAACAATGTTGCACGAGGCTTGGACACAAGGAGTACGGAGAGCGACAAATATTTCCTCTCCGTACAGGAGTGTATTTCGCCACAGACATCACAGCAGAAGAAACGAGACCGACTATTATCCAGCAAAGTAAGAGGGTGTTAGGATGAAATGGGTGTTGGATTTCTTTTGGATATTCTGCACAAGATTTGCACAGAAGAAAATGCATTGAAGGCAAACGTAGCTCGATTCCCAATCGTGCAAGGTTCTTTCACATCCAGAGCAGATCGATGAAACAACAGTTACCAATGAGGGTAGGCTTCCATGTTGTTGCATTTTCCGCAAGGTTCCACCAAACGGAATCAAGGAATGTGGGTGGCTGTGATGTCGTATTTTGTTCTCAGAGCATTTGTTGTTGGCGATATCCATGGCGGGCATTAACATAGCACGTGGGACATGAAGGACAAAATTATAACCGGAACAGAGGTACATGCTGACGCCTTTGCGATATGCAAAACAGAGGCTGCATTCACTATCGTACGTTGAATGGATTTTGAGAGTGTAATGGGTGAAAAGGATGATGCTCAATCACTCTTGGCAACTCAGCACATGATTTATGGATGAAGAATTTGCAGGCAGGCTCAAAACATACATAGAAGAACCATGGCTGGTTTGTATGGACATGGAGCACATACAGCATTCAATATTATTGAAGAAGTCATCAACACATGGAAATAAGGTCAAGGGATGCTTGTGGAAATCAAATTCAATCTGTGGCTGCTCCTCCTCCTGACGATGTCCCATTGGCCTGATCAACTTGGAGCAAATAACGTCTAGCTCAAATCCCCCTCCTCCTCCTCCGCATTCCTCAGAATCAGAACACTGATAGGTGAATCCATAGAATTCTCTCCGGCACCAATCACATTCAGATCTTTCCCAACCTCTTTCTGTGGCAACAAGGGTGAAGAATGCTGTGGGTGAAAGGGATGTTGGATCTGTTGGGGCAATTCAGCACATGATTTGTGGATGAAGAATTTGCAGCTAAAGCAAACACATGTCAAACCTTTGATGATGGGTTGGTAGCAACACCGACACGTAATATTACTAAGCTTTCCCTCCTTGTCATGATCAGTAAATGTGAAGGGGATCAAGGGATGCTTGTGAGAGAAGTATTCAATCTGTTTCTCTTGGTCTTGAATCTGATTTTCTTCTAGCTTCAAACTCAAACTCGCGCAATTAATATCTAGTGTAGTACCATCACATTGGGAACAACGGAACATGAAGCCGGAGCATATGGTATAACATCCGTAGTAGTACAATTTACCATAATGGTGGTAGGGTGGTTTAGAAAGGGTGAGAGGGTGTTGTGGGTGAAAAGGGTGATTGTAGATCTGTTGTGGGACTTTGGCGCATGACTTGTGGATCATGTATTTACAGTCAGCAGGGGCAGTAGCACAAACATAGGCTTGAACACGAGATTTAATGGTTTGTCTGCAACCAAAGCAGCAAACTTCATCCTTTATCTGATCAGAAGAGAGGACCAGAGGATGCCTGTGGCTGAAATGCGTTATCTCCCCCATCTCTCTCTCTCTCTCTCTCTCTCTGTTCACTGGTACAGGTGTTTAAGGCCCAGTTTGGCGAAATGGCAGAAATGATTTTCATTGTTCTAGTTTACAGGCAGCATCTTTTGTACTGGTTGGGCTGTTCAAAATATTAAAAAAAAATTAAAATAAAAAAGTCTCTTGTATTGGTTAGTTAGCACTTCCCCAGAATAATTAACAAAGAGAAATATGGTACTGACCTGAACCATAATGTTGGTTCATTTGGGCTTATCACATACGCTTACTAAACTATTATGATTCAGTTTATTTGTTTTGGAGTAATGCTGCCATGATCTTTTTATTTTTATTTTATCTTTTATTTATCATAATTATATTAGTTAAATAGATCTCTATTCATGTATGTTATTTGTCACTAGTATTTTATTTTATTTTATTTTTTTTGTCTTTATTGGCTGGATCGAAAAAAGTAAGGAAAATGTGAATGAAATATAAGTTATTTTTTTCAACAAATCTCTTGCGTTTTTTTCTCTCTCTCACCAAATAGGCCTCCAAAACTTCTCAAATGGATTAAATTAAATTGCCAAGTTCATCATTACAACCTGCTAAATAATTTTATTGGCTATTGCAGATTCTTATTCTACATGAATAATAGAGGAATCAATCAAGAATGAATATTCTATCATTTCCTGCTTTCTCAAGGCGGGAGACCTTTGTGATAAATAGGCTTTAGATCGCTTCTACATTTCTCCAGGAAGCATTGTGTCCTCAGGTAGATCACAAACAGCAATACCCTGCAAAAAAGAGTGAAAGCAAATTTACAAAATCGGTAGAGCAGTATCAGCACAAACATAGAATCCATGGTGTGACGGCATATATAGCTTCCTACCTCTCCTATGAGGTGGGCCACACATTTCTTCTCGGCAAGCAACTCAGCTTCAGCCTGCATCATAACAGTGCAATTCACACCAAATGGTAGACGAACAATACTGTCCATTCAAGTCTTTCTGTTTCTTTGAAACTGATATTTGATATATATCCGTTGGTTTTTTTTACAGCACAAAAGGCCTTTTTGTCAAATTGCAACAACATTTTTACAGATACAGATGCGTCCAAACGTTTTCTATTGTTTCTTTAATCTTTTTAGAGCAGGCATATTTTGCTTGTTATTTATTTCCATTGCATGTTGAGGATCTTCCTGCAGACCAAGAACAGATGTTTTGTCTTGAAGTTTTGTGTTGATTCAATTCTTATTCAATGTTGTCATGGTTATTGACACACTCCCAAATAAATTAAAGAGTACCTTGGTTATTCGCTTCAGAAGGTAGTCATCAAATATAACATCCTTGACAAGTTCATAATCGCCATCCCCCTGAAAATAATGGAAACAAATCTTAAGAGGTGATCTTAACAATAATTTGCAGAGCCGACAGTATCAGAAGAATATATCTGATAGATAATAATTTACCTTTGACCTGCATGGCATGCTGAAAACAAGTTCCTCTGCCACACCATATGGATTTCCATTTGTGAAAACCTACAAATGCATTGTAAAATTGTGAGACTGGAAATTAAAGATCACCATCAACTTCCAAGCTACTGGAGCTACAAACAGAAAATGCAGAGCTCTGTTTGTGATTTGTATGTCAATATGGACATTATTGCTTATTATTCAACCACTTTTTCTATTCAATTATTGCCCTTACATTAACGAACATGATAACCAATTCTTTGGAGAGAAGATATAGATGACACGGCTTAAATGCCATAACCAAATTGGTTGGTACACATAAATTTCTACGCACTCAAAGGAAGATTTAGTTTTGGCATTCTCTCTTCTCTCCAATTGGATCTTCAATGAAATGATTGCTCTAGAAACCAGTTATGTTTAAATGAACGCCTGAAGAAATTTAATGTATAAAGAGAAATAAAGAATTGTATTATTGATTGATGTATGTTGTTTATTACAAATGGTGAGGGGCTCCTTATATAGGAGATGTAGTGGAGTAGGTGGTAGTAGGTGGTAGTGGTAGGTGTGTAGTAGGTGGTAGTAGGTGGTGGTAGGTGTAGTAGGTGGAGTAGGTGATGGTAGGTTTTAACACCTAAAAGCCAATTTTATTGACTAACTCAAAAAATATTTTTCCCTTTAAAATCAAGTTGAAATGAACTTACTCCAGAAGAAAACCAATCACCCTCAGGGGTGGGAGTTACAAGAGACCTTATGGCATCAACAATTGAGACAGAAGTTGATGCAGCTGAGGATCTTCCCCATTTCTTAATAAGCACACCACCTCTCTGTAAATCCATTTCTTAAACAACTATTAGCCATCAAAGTTAGGAACCAGTTCAGTTTATGTATACAAGTATATTAATTATCCTACACATCTTACCTTTTGAATCTTTTCAGTGAAGTCTTCTTCTAACCACTTGGTGTCCTTAATAACCTCTTCGACAGGTAAGCCATCAATTCTACCATTCAAAAAGTCCGGAACCTAATAAAAATTACATATTGAATACCTTTCACGGAGAGCACAAAGGAACAATCCATTCAATTCAATCAACAAAAATCTGTTGCAATAACCTGAGTGGTTGAGTGGTTTCCCCATATAGTCATATTTGACACTTTGTCATAGAAGACACCTGCTTTGAGGGCCAGCTACACACACAATATCAAATACTTCAAAAAAAATTTACTTTATTGGTTTTCTTTGGTAATAACCGTAACCATATCTTCAAAATGGGCAATATTCATTTTTGTACCTGGCATTTTGCTCTATTTTCATCTAATCTAGTCAAAGCATGGAAATTCTTTGCAGGTATGTTTGGTGCATTTTTCAAACAAATTAATGCACTGCATGGAAAAGTAAGCACAATTAACAGTGTCAGACATTGGAAGAAGTACACAACTCGGGCATCAGAAGAGAAGGATAAGATCTATTACTTGGTGTTGCAGGGATTGCCCACTACTATCACTTTGACATTACGCGATGCCACTGCATTAAGAGCTTTTCCCTGTTTTGTTTCATCCGAAATCAGTGAAACAAAGTTTATGGCTCTATTGCAATGTTTTCTTTTTTTCTTCTTTTTTTTTTAATTACAAAAAATTAAAAGTAAAACAAAATAAAAATGCCAGCAGTACCTGTTCGGCAAAAATCTTCCCATTTATTTCTAATAAGTCAGCTCGTTCCATTCCAGGCCCTCGAGGCTTTGCTCCAATCAAAAGTGCCCATTCGGCATCTTGGAATACATCATAAGGATCTATGCCAATACTGACCTCCTTCAACAAAGGATATAATGAATCCTCTAGTTCCATGGCAACTCCTGCATGAATTAAAAATAGTCATTTATGAGCATACAGGGACATCTGTCATCATTTGAGAAAAATACTACAATTTCATCCTTAGCAAGCAGCATAAATTTACAATTCAGTATTTATTATATAAATATCTGATAAATTGCACATGAATCTTTGAAATAATTAGAATTTACTCGACACTAAAATTCAACCCAAGATTTTTAACTTGCAAAAACAAACAATTTTCCAATTCAATCTATTTGTTTTCGGGATGGTGTCATGCAACATGTATTTGGCTTTATGTACATATTTACAGAAATAAAGTATAAAGACACAATCATATTGTACTGATGTCTGTGCATAATGTTTGTGCTGGGGCAAATCTAGACTCAAAAGGAATGACATAGTAGTTGATGCTACTCAGTTGACGTGTCGAATGTCATTTTTTGTGATCCCATTTTAAGAGTGTATATCAACTTGTTCTACTTGTTAACTTTCAGATTGTGCAGAAGGAAGTATAACAATTTAAGTGTGATTAGCTCCGATGTTTATGGAGTAATTATGCTTCAACTACTTTGAAGTACTCTGCCCCAATAGCATGCCTGTTAGTTATATTGCTCAAACGATATGCATATTGTTTCTAGAATGCCACTGCAACAGGTAAACTTAGTTAAGAACCATACCTTCTAGAGCTTGAAATGACCTTTCAGACCCCAAAAGTTTTAATGCAATTGGTTGATCCCGCCCAAATACCTCACCAGATGCAAGCTGGCATGTCAAAAAAGTTAGGGATCTATTTTGAAACATACTAAAAATGCATTGGAAAAAGATTTCTCACTATCTTTTTTGTTGGGAAAAGCACAAATTATGGATGCAAAAATTTTGTTTTACCAATCAGAAGTGTAGATTTATACTGGAGTGTAAAGGAATTTTGTCAGCTGGAACGTATTACCAACATACTACTTATCTTCTCGAGTTGTAGGGTCATGGTTGGACTTTCCATGAATGCAATCATTGGATTTCCACAGAGAATTTGCAGCACTAGGATACAATTGTAACAGTAAAATGGAGCCATCACTAGCAGTAAAAGGTAGAACAAAAGTTCTTTGGATCATAATTGCGGAGCTTATCGGCAGAATGAATAAATTTTGATAGTCCTTTGTGGCATTGATTGTGTCTGGACCCATTTAGAGAACCATCAATTGTTTGAGATTAAGGTTTCATTTGCAATATGGAACCATTAAGGAGGATTGTATTCTACATTTAAAAAAATATGGGACACATGATTGAACAATTTCACTTCCAATGCACATCAAAACATGTTGCTAGCACAGTGAGGTTAAACCACTTTCAACTTGGTAAGCAAAAATTCCGAAGGCATGCTTTAGTCCTACATTGATATTCTGTATTCTTTCCTTAGATTAGACATATTTCAAAATTCTTTTATACAACTTTTATCATCAATTCCTCAATTATGATCCAATAGCACAAGTAAAAGAACATAAGATTATTCACCCAAAAAAAAAGAACATAAGATTTCGTTACTTTGAACAGTAGATGATTGGAGATCATCCCAGCAGCACCTGAGACTGCAATATTAATCATTTTCTTCCAGGTTTTTGTCTGTTCCTCCTGTGAACACATTAAAAGAAGAGTTTAATGTCAAACTATATAATACCATGCAGAGAAGCATAGACTAGCATCGACACGAAATTTTCTTGGTTATTCTCTCTTTTCCCTCTATTGGGGCTTGGGTTATTGTTGACATCAATTTTGAGAGGTTTGGAAACAAGTTTCACACCTTTTTTCTAAGACATTCTCATGCTAATGACACTGCAGGCATGTGAGCACAAATAATTATGTAACATGGAAAACTGGACATAGAATTTGTACAACAGCACTAACTATAAATCTAAGGAAAATGTTTATCGCAGTCCAAGGCCTCAGTTGATGTTCAAAAAATGCATAGAAATATGTGAGTATTTCAGAATGTGTAAGAAATACATTGACATTCTAATTTTTTAGCATTCTCTTCCTTCCCTTATTGACAGCCCATTAAGTTGTCCTTAGAAAAACCTAAACCTCAAGATTATATGAAGAAACCAAATAAGGGTGGCAATTTTCTACTCCACCTGGCAATACATCTTGAAATGGACACCCAATTAGAGGGTTTGGGATCGACTTGCATGGGTACATGTCATAAACTGGTCTACGCATTTAACACGAATATTAGACAAGGTAGGTTAGGTTTATGAGTGTCATCAGCCTGTTTAACACGAGTTGATCCATTTAATTAAATGTATAATCCATCCATATTACCCAAAACCTGTTTAAACCATTTAATATGACTTGCAATGATTTTTTAAGATTATTAGGAATTTAAAAAATTAATAAAATAGCATGTTTCTAGGGGTGTAAAAATGGACCGGGGCCTAGTTAAGTCCGGTTAGGCCTGGACCGTCATTTTGAAGCACGGCCCGCCTGGCTCGGCCAGTGACCTAGCTAATCGGCCTGCTCAAAACCCACTCAAAATCCGCCCACCCAAGGCCAGTGTCATTTTTAGTGAAAAAGAATAAAATTTTGATAGAAAATTTATAAAAAAATATTTAGACCTACTCAGGCTCGGCCAAAGCCCGATCCCAGGCCTAGGCCCGCCCAAGACTCGAATACCCCCTGGACCTGGGATTTGGCCTAATTTTTTGACCTGTGGACCGGCCTAGTCCGGCCCAAATTTTGGTGAGAGCCCAAGTTGCCCGACATGGGCCAACCCGAGCCCGGGATAGAGTGGGCCAGGCCAGGCCCAATTAACATCCCTGCATGTTGCCAAATGAGACCTCAATTAATTTTGAAAAGCAAAGAGGTGCGGCCCTTAATTCATCAAACACATATCAACAAACAATACCAATGCAATTACATTGCACCACTAAAATGCTCACAAAATCAAACCTTGTGTCCGAATCAATTGAGATCAATTAAGAGAATTCCATCATTTCATTATGCGCTCAGTTAAATTTAATAAATTCATATATTTTTATACCATAAAATTCATGTCAATTTAAGTCATCCCCTTCCTCTAGCGTTTCCATTTACATTTCGTGATTATATCACTCTTTTTTGCCATTACACAAATATGTTCGGAAAAATTAGCTACATATGAAGCAAACACAACTAGTCAATTCAAATTCAGAACTGAAATCAAGAAACTAGTCAAAATTTGAAAAATCCGAAGAAATGACAAAAAGGAGCTTACAGCCTTGAGATCATAAGTGACATAGAACACGCCATAGCATTCGCGCTTCATCTTGGGGTCTTCGGCATGCACAGGGACCGGTGCTTGAACTTGACTGAGAACAAACAAGAATATCAGGCCACAAAATTGAAGTGATTTGGAAGTTAATTATGTATCCTACAATGGAATCAGAGGAAGCTCACATGGATGCAACAGAGCAAACAACTCTTGCATTTCGTGTCGGAGGGAGTGGCTGGAGATCGATTCGACGTGAGGGATTGGAGAGACGATTTGACAGGAATGAAAGCTGTGAAGAGTGAAGGCTGGTTTTAGTGTATGAAGAAGACAACTCTGCCACTGCCATGGTAGCAGAGACAGAGAGAAGCTCTGGATTTAGAGAGAGAAAGGGGAAGAAATTGGTGAATAGTATAGAGAGAGGAGAGAGAGAGAGAGAGAGAGAGAGTGAGGCAAAAGTTGGATTGTATTTTTGATTTGAAATTTAGTTATAAGGCCATGCAGAGGAACACTATTCATCACTACCTAATGCCAAAAATCAATAATATAGTACATACAATCAACATATGATTATTGTTAAAAAAAAAAATCCAGGTTATGCTCCTGAGAATTGGACACCAAGTAGGCACCTTGTGACATTTTTTATCAACATTTTAATTATATTAATTTAATTCTTAATTTATTCAATTTGTTTTTAAGCACCTTGTGACATTTTTTATCAACATTTTAATTATATTAATTTAATTCTTAATTTATTCAATTTGTTTTTAATTGGGCTAGTTCCATTTCCGTCTAAGTTGTCCAAATTTGGATGGAAATGAAATTTGTGACCATCTAAACACAAATTAAATAAATTATGAACCAAATTTACATGAGTATCAAAAATCAAAACAATATAAAGTGCATACTTTGGGACCAATCGTGTATTTAATTTTTCTTTAATTAATAAGTTAATAAACAGCGAATCAACCACATGAAATAATCTTCATTATACATATTAGATAGTAGCACCCTTCATAAAATAAAATTAATTCATTCAGATTGTTTCAATGATTGATTATGTGATTGGTTGTTTATTCCTAAAGTTAGGTCTCGTAATTACATGTTTTTGGCCAAAAAATTAAAAAAAATCAGTATAAGTTATCATATAATTTTTTTTTATTTTTTTATATATCTTTTTATAAAAAATTAAAAAATTATTAAAATAATTTATTCTCAAACGTAATATTTAAAAACTTTTAAATTGCAAAATATTATTCTTCATTCCTCTCAGTGTGCGTCTAGGCACTACCCATCCACGAGAGACGCATGAAAGAACCACTCTTTGACTTTGAAAGCAGTGCCCTTTAAATCTCCAACAACCAAAAAAAAAAGGGTCCTAAAGGGTGTCTCTGTAGATGCAAGAAGATCTGTTAGATACTTGTCCTTCAAGGTATCCCTTAAAGTGACTGTTTAGGTTCCCTCTTCTTCGTATAGTCTCACATGTCATTATTGAGTTTTCAATGTATTTTTGTGTTGTTTGCATTGCATTAACCCTCCTGGATTCATATGGAAATCAATCATTTTTGTCTCCGTTTGGAATGTGAGTTGACTTTTAATTTTTTGATTATTTAGGTACTTTAGTCTGGAACTAAAAAGTCTCGTTTGAGATGTATTTTTTTTAGCTTTTTTTACTTTTGTAAGAGAAGAAATGAAATGATTATGGTCTGGATATGATGTTTTGTCTTATTAAGTTAAAAAGCTTATTTTGTTTTTTTGTGACTATTTTAGCCCAAACATGACATGCCAAACAAAGCTTATGAATCGACTCTTTGAAAAAAAAAATTCCTTCACTTTGGTGCCGTTTGGTAACACTTACGTTTTCAGTTTTCTGCTTATATTTACAAAAATTTTAAAAACTAAAATAAAAACTTATTTGTTAAATTTTTGATTTATAAATCTGTGGTCTCAGTTTATAAATTTGGTCAAAAAATGTAAACTCAAAAAATGTGTTTCCGTTTTGAGTTTTTAGTTTTTTTTTTTTAACCAGTAAAATAATTATGATTTGAATGTAACATTTTATTTTATTAACTTATTTTGTCTTTTTGCAACTAATTTAACCAAAAAACCAAATTAAACGAAGGCTTGAAATGTTGTCAAATTTCTGGCTCAACTATTATGTGAATAGGGCACAAAATGGCCCATGTAGTATATAATGGACACCGTTACACATATATATAGGGGTGCAATTCGAGCGATTTCAAGTAGGTTGAGAGGTCGTCCAAGCTTAACCCAAGTTGTGCTGAGAGCTGCTCAGACCTACCCAAACTCAAATTATAACCTGAGATTATTTGTCCAAACCTGATCCGAGTGAGGCCCTTATCGCATATGAGTTTGAATTTTTATTGTTATTTTTGTGTGCAATAAGTTAATTAATTTGTTAAAATTAGGCTATATTTACATTTTTTTTAAGGGAAAATTAGTCTAGGGTCCCTCCTCCACTTTTTGTAATGGAAGAGATCCACAAAATTATTTTTTGATGTTTAAGGTCCCTAAACATATATCAGAGGAATTTGACTATCACCATCCCCAACGCTAGTAAACGATAGAAAACAAGACTTTGTGCTTGTTGTATGGGTTTTATCACCACTTCCCTAATATATATATATATATATATATATATTTATGTCTATTACCTTAGGGTTTCAATCACAGATCTATTGTCTTCCTCATTCTCTCTAGTCTTCAACTGCTCCGAATCATATTGATGTTCTATAAAACTGTTTCGATTCTTGAAGAGAATTGGACACCAAGTAGGCACCTTGTGACATTTTTTATCAACATTTTAATTATATTAATTTAATTCTTAATTTATTCAATTTGTTTTTAATTGGGCTAGTTCCATTTTGGTCTAAGTCGTCCAAATTTGGATGGAAATGAAATTTGTGACCATTTAAATACAAATTAAATAAATTATGAACCAAATTTACATGAGTATCAAAAATCAAAACAACATAAAGTGCATACCTTGGGACCAATCGTGAATTTAATTTTTCTTTAATTAATAAGTTAATAAACAGCGAATCAACCACATGAAATAATCTTCATTATGCATATTAGATAGTAGCACCCTTCATAAAATAAAAATAATTCATTCAGATTGTTTCAATGATTGATTATGTGATTGATTGTTTATTCCTAAAGTTAGGTCTTGTAATTACATGTTTTTGGCCAAAAAATTAAAAAAATCAGTATAAGTTATCATATAATTTTTTGTATTTTTTTATATATCTTTATATAAAAAATTAAAAAATTATTAAAATAATTTATTCTCAAACGTAATATTTAAAAACTTTTAAAATGCAAAATATTATTCTTCATTCCTCTCAGTGTGTGTCTAGGCACTACCCATCCACGAGAGACGCATGAAAGAACCACTCTTTTGACTTTGAAAGTAGTGCCCTTTAAATCTCCAACAACCAAAAAAAAAAGGGTCCTAAAGGGTGTCTCTATAGATGCAAGAAGATCTGTTAGATACTTGTCCTTCAAGGTATCCCTTAAAGTGACTGTTTAGGTTCCCTCTTCTTCGTATAGTCTCACATGTCATTTTTGAGATTTTAATGTATTTTTGTGTTGTTTGCATTGCATTAACCCTCCTGGATTCATATGGAAATCAATCATTTTTGTCTTTGTTTGGGATGTGGGTTGACTTTTAGTTTTTTGACTGTTTAAGTATTGTCTGGAACTAAAAAGTCTCATTTGAGATGTATTTTTTTGGCTTTTTTTACTTTTGTGAGAGAAGAAATGGAATGATTATTGTTTGGATATGATGTTTTGTCTTGTTAAGTTAAAAAGCTTATTTTGTCTTTTTGTGACTATTTTAGCCCAAACATGACATACCAAACAAAGCCTATGAACTGACTCTTTGAAAAAAAAAATTCATTCACTTTGGTGTCGTTTGGTAACACTTACGTTTTCAGTTTTCTGTTTATATTTACAAAAATTTTAAAAACTCAAATAAAAACTTGTTTGGTAAAATTTCTGATTTATAAATAAGTGGACTCAGTTTATAAATTTGGCCAAAAAATGAAAACACAAAAAATGTGTTTCCGTTTTAAGTTTTGAATTTTTTTTTTTTTACTACCCAACACTAGCCACCACCCACCACCATTTTCCACCACCGTCTTCAGCCGCCACCACCCCCCACCCACCCCTCACCACCACCTACCACCACCACTCACCTACCACCACCACTCACCTACCACCACCACTCACCTACCACCACCACTCACCTACCACCACCACTCACCTACCACCACCACTCACCTACCACCACCACTCACCTACCACCACCACTCACCTACCACCACCACTCACCTACCACCACCACTCACCTACCACCACCACTCACCTACCACCACCACTCACCTACCACCACCACTCACCTACCACCACCACTCACCTACCACCACCACTCACCTACCACCACCACTCACCTACCACCACCACTCACCTACCACCACCACTCACCTACCACCACCACTCACCTACCACCACCACTCACCTACCACCACCACTCACCTACCACCACCACTCACCTACCACCACCACTCACCTACCACCACCACTCACCTACCACCACCACTCACCTACCACCACCACTCACCTACCACCACCACTCACCTACCACCACCACTCACCTACCACCACCACTCACCTACCACCACCACTCACCTACCACCACCACTCACCTACCACCACCACTCACCTACCACCACCACTCACCTACCACCACCACTCACCTACCACCACCACTCACCTACCACCACCACTCACCTACCACCACCACTCACCTACCACCACCACTCACCTACCACCACCACTCACCTACCACCACCACTCACCTACCACCACCACTCACCTACCACCACCACTCACCTACCACCACCACTCACCTACCACCACCACTCACCTACCACCACCACTCACCTACCACCACCACTCACCTACCACCACCACTCACCTACCACCACCACTCACCTACCACCACCACTCACCTACCACCACCACTCACCTACCACCACCACTCACCTACCACCACCACTCACCTACCACCACCACTCACCTACCACCACCACTCACCTACCACCACCACTCACCTACCACCACCACTCACCTACCACCACCACTCACCTACCACCACCACTCACCTACCACCACCACTCACCTACCACCACCACTCACCTACCACCACCACTCACCTACCACCACCACTCACCTACCACCACCACTCACCTACCACCACCACGGTTAGATTGAGATTTTGTATCCATTTAATATTCGAGGCGGGCTCGGGATAAAGAGTTTTAACCCAATCCTACCCGCCCATTTATAAAATAACATAGAAAAAATATAAAATAAAAATAAAATAAAAAACATGGTATACTCTTTTGAGGTGGAGCTCAAATTTTATTTTTATTTCTATTAGGT